TGTACCGGCAAACCAACAAGTGTGTGAGGGGCTGTACCAGCACACCAACAAGTGCGTGAAGGACTGGGGGGTGTGTGAGGGTCTGTATTAGTACACCAACAAGTGCGTGAGGGACTGAGGGGGTTATGAGCTCTGTTGAGGGGGTTGTGAGGGGGCTGTACCAGCACACCAACAAGTGCGTGGGGGATTGAGGGGTGTGTGAGGGATTGAGGGATGTGTAAGGGGCTGTACCAGCAAACCAACAAATGCGTGAGGGATTGGGGGGGGTGTGAGGGTTCGGGGGTGTGTGAGAGTTTGAGGGGGGGTGTGTGAGGGGCTATTCCAGCAACCCGACAAGTGAGTGAGGGTCTGAGGGATGTGTGTGAGGAATTGAGGGGTGCGTGAGGGCTGTACCAGACACCAACAAGTGCGTGAGTGGCTGAAGGAGGTGTGAGGAGGGCTCGGGGGGTGTGTGAGGGGCTGTACCGGCAAACCAGCAAGTGAGTGTGGGATTGAGGGGGGTGTGAGGGATTGCGGGGTGTGTGCGGGGCTGTACCAGCAAATTAACAAGTGCTTGAGGGACTAAGGGATGTGTGTGAGGGATTGAGGGGTGCGTGAAGGCTGTACCAGCAAACCAACAAGTGAGTGAGGGATTGAGGGGGGTGTGAGGGATTGAGGGGTGTGTGCGGGTTTGAGGGGGGTGTGTGAGGGGCTGTACCAGCAAACCAGCAAGTGAGTGAGAGATTGAGGGGGATATGAGGGATTGAGGACTGTGTGAAGGCTGTGCTAGCAACCCGACAAGTGCGTGAGGGACTGGGGAGTGCGTGAGGGGCTGTACCAGACACCAAAAATGCATGAGGGACTAAGGGATGTGTGAGGGCTCGGGGGTTTTGTGAGGGATTGAGGAGTGCGTGAGGGGCTGTACTGGCAAACCAACAAATGCGTGAGGAGTTGAGGGGTGTGTGAGGGATCGAGAGAGGTGCGTAGGGATTTAGGAGTGTCTGAGGGATTGAGGGGTGCGTGAGGGACTGAGAGGAGTTGTGAGGGCTCGAGGGGTGCATGAGGGAATGAAGGGTGTGTGAGGGATTGCGGGATGTGTGAGGGATTGAGAGGGATGTGTGAGGGAATGAGGGCTGTGTGAGAGCTCGGGGTGTGTGAGGGATTGAGGAACTGAGGGATATGTGAGAGCTCGGGGTGTGTGAGGGATTGAGGAACTGAGGGATGTGTGAAGGATCGAGGGGTGTGAGGGACTGAGTTGTGTGAGAGCTGTCCCGTCAAACCAGCATTTGTCTGGAGGATCGGGGGCAGACCCACAAACCAAGTGTATGAGGAGCCGGGCCGGGTGTGCGGGATCCCACACCGACACCCCACAGATCTCAGC